GAGGCAGGCGGATCTCTGTGAGTTCAAGGCCAGCCTGGTCTCCAAAGCGAGTTCCAGGAAAGGCGCAAAGCTACGCAGAGAAACCCTGTCTCGAAAAACCAAAGAAAAAAAGAAAAGAAAAGAAAAAGAAAGTTGTCCTCTGACCTATAACACACATTCTGTGGCACATGCCCCCCCCAAACAAATGACAGCAGTGTAAAAACATAGAGTATTATCAAAGTCTACCTCTCTCATGAGACTGTGGGGTAGCAGTGTCCTACAAGACAACAACACAAACCTCCGCGTCCCCCATCTGAGGTAGTTTTGATGACCAGTTCTGGACCACTAACACAGGCCGTGGTGCCAGGAATGCTTTACCACAGTGGTGCCCAATGTGGGGTGGTACCTCAAGGGTCTCGCAGCCAAGGAAACTCGTTTCGGTTCTTCTTAAACACACAGTTTTCTTTCAGACTCTTTGTTTATTATCCCAAGTAAGAAAAAATTTAAAATAAATAAATAAGATAAATACCCATAATAAATAAGAAGAAACCCAAAATGACGCATCCCCAGAATCAGGAAGGCTCAGGCAGCAAAGCTGGGGCTCCGGCCCTGCAGAGGTCCCATCATGCTCAGGGGATCAGAGGAGCCCACATCGGGGGGCTCTGGCGCCGGGAACCCTGGAAGTTCCTGGGGCTGGTGAAACAGGCCTGGCACGGGCAGGAAGCGCACGGGTCCCCAGGATGCTGGGTCCTGGTTTGAAGAGTCCCTCTGGGGCAGGCGCAGGGGCAGGCCGTGGGCTTCGGACTGGTACACGTTGTATCCATCCTCAAGGAGCAGCTCCCTGAAGCTGCAGGCCTCCGGATCAAAGAGGGGCTGGAGGACGAAGAAAAGAGTCAGTGGCCCACAGTACATTTCCATTGCCAAGCCCTGACCCAAGCAAGGGTCCCGCCCCAGACTCCTCTCTCAGACCCAGGGTCCAGACCTGGACCAACTCGCCTCCCGCCTGGGGTTCCGGCCCCAGCCCTCTCTACCTGCAGACTAGCAGGCCCAGGCCCAGGCTCCTCCCTCAATTTTTCTGTATCTAGGTTGGCAGCCTGCCCACCACCTCCATCATATCACTGATTGGTCATGGGTACCAGAGAGCCCCACGGTCAGCAGGAGCAGAACCTGTGAGAGTTCACGTGGCCGCGTGCAGGGTTACAGTCCTGACACCTTGCCTCTCCGAGGGCCAGTCTGCCCTTCATAGTACCCCAGGACTCGAACCAGGGGTGACCTGCCTGGGCCTAGTTTTTTCCCTTTGCAAACACAGACAACAGGACCATGGCCAAGGGAGAACACAGCTCTGAGAGAGGGCCGCAGAATGGGACTCACCGATCCGTACAGGGTTCCATCGGGCTGTTGGCAAAGAAACCTAGAAGCCTTGATACCCAGTATTTGGATCACCCCTGGCTTCAAGGCTTTGAGTTCCAGGAGACCTGTGGGCAAAACAAAGACATTCAGGGTCTGTCTACACCCGGGAGGACCCAGGACCCCACCCAGTCCTCTCTCCAGACTCACTTTCTGGGCTGCGGTGTGTGGCGCCTACCACTGTGCCATCCTCCCTGATCGCCAGGTGGGCTTCAGTGTCCTGGTCGTCATCTGTGTAGAGGTGCCTCTGCCGGACTTGACCCCCAAACTGGAGGAGGGGGCTGGAGTCAGGGATAGGGTGTGCCTGGCAGACCCCCAGGAGGAAGACAGCCAGCAGAGGGACCGGCAGTCCCAGGACCCCAACTCTAGATTTCATCCAGTCCATCAATAATGCACTTCTCTATGAAGAGCCCCCGGCAAGCGAGCGTCTGAGAGCGGTCGTCTGGAACTGGCTTCTGACTTGGATGCCCCAGCAAAGCAGATGCAGGTTCAGACCCGGGCTCAGGCAAAGTGAAAGTCTGTGTCTCCGGTGGAATCCCCAGCTGACAAGATACTAAGGCTGTGTGGTGAACGCCGAAATCCCAGAATTTATACCCAGACAGGCCCGCCCACGTGCCCTCCCCACTCCTGACGCGTGATATTTGACACACTTGGCAGAAACCCGAATTCCACCGTGGCCAGGGCAGCCTGGACGGATGATGCAATGGAGGGGGGGTGGTCTTTCCAACAGGGGTCTGAAGGAAAAGGACTGGGCATGGACCCCTGAGTCTCAAGGAAGAGTGCTAGGGTCTGACTCCTGGGTCTGAGGGAGGAGGCT